ACTCGAATGTCTTTGTATGTAATAATTTAAGTTATAATGACAAAGTGCATCTAACTTGAGTATTGGGCACTTTAAATTTTTGATCTACTGTTGCTAGTCATAAAAATACAGCTGATGATATAATATCTACATGCATTAAGTATAAGCTGTATTATCATGAACATATAAAAATGAGCTGTACAAGCCTGTACACATTAGTCAATGTGCTTAATAATATTTGACTCCAGCAGCTACAGAAGAAGAAAAGTACGTAGGAATTGAAGTCAAAGACATAGCCATCCTTCAGCTTCAAAATTATGGAACTAGTAGTGTGACTTTAGAGGTCACTGAATCACAGGTCTTGAATATCATTACAAAGTCATATGATGCTTCCTTTGTCAATTCATGAATATTGTTTCCACCATGTATGGCATGCACAAATGATATTAATTTGGTGTTGAGTTGCATTTTTAATTGTATATCAATTCCAAATCTGTTACTGTGATTACTGCTTTGTCAGTCACTTCATGCATGTGATCTCATAATTATTGATACATGTCCATTTCAGCATAAATACAGGAAAGGAAGTGGATTGGAAACAGCCTAGATCATGTGATATTTCATATGCAAAAATACTGCTTGTGGCAAATTGTTTGATGCTGCTTTTTTATTGTTTGAAAAGACTTATTTAACTTCTTTTTTGTTTTTGGGCCAGTTATAACAACTAACTATAAGTGGCGCCATTGCAGTTTAGGTCTTACCTCAATGAATCATTTAGTATTGATTGATGATGTCTTTTTTAAGTTTAGGTTTATTAGTTAAAATTATAATTATTAATTAGGTAGGACCTGAACCGCAATTTGCCCCCTTTGTTCCACTTATACATTGTACAAGCACAGAAAAAGGCACTGCCTACTGAGACATAGACGATATGGCAGCTAGTAGTGGGCTGTTTCCTATTCAGCTCATCGTTACTATTAATATTGTTACTGTACCAGATTAATCAATGTGAAATGGTAATGTACATGTAGCCTTACCAGGGCTATATAAACACTAGCTGTTCAATGCTAAAGTAGCACAAGTTACTTATGCATGTACTGTACATGCATTTTATTTGTGTTCATGTAGTATTTTTACAATGAATAAGTGTGTCACTACATTATGGCTAGTTCTAGTTGTTATATTCTTTTTTAAATAATGATACTGTACATGTATAGAGTCTATACTTTTAGTAAATAAAGAACTAAAAACATAAATAATGCTCAGCTATTTGATTAATTATATTTAAGAAGTAATAATTCTTATGAAGTTATTTCCTTCCAGATTGTACTACTGGATCAATCCGTCTTGTTGGTGGTTCACACGATTGGGAAGGAAGAGTGGAAGTGTGTGATAGTGGATCATGGGGCACTGTCTGTGATGATCTCTGGGGCTCCCCTGATGCAGCAGTAGTGTGTAGACAACTAGGCTGGGGAACAAGTGAGTTGATTCCTTTTGACAATGAATGATATATTGTGACAGGTGGAACTGCTCGATCATTTGCCTACTTTGGTCAGGGTACTGGTAGTATCCTCCTGGATGATGTTCAGTGCACAGGAACAGAAGAGTTTTTGACAAACTGCACACACTCGAGTACTCACAACTGTGGACACTATGAGGATGCTGGAGTATCTTGTGATGGTAAGTTTGTAGAATAAATTTGTGCTGTTAATAAATATGTATATTACTTTAGTTTGTACTTCTGGTTCTCTTCGTCTTGT